CAACTCAGGGTCTGCTTGGCCCACCAGCAGCTAACCCCCTGGCCATGGGCAGCAGGCTCCACAAAAAAAAAAAAAAAAAAGAATCAGGCCCCTCGCCATAACGGTGATGGAAACCCCTAAATTGAAATGGGTTTCAATTAAAAAGCCACCATTTCAATTTAGGGGGCATAGAATGCAATCCTAAGGACTAAACCCTGGTCATGTGTACAAGTGCCCCATGCCAGCAAAAAAGTTGGGGTATATCAGTCTAAGACAGCAGGATACAGATGGCAGCCTGGCAGGAAAATGACCACTGTGAAAGATGACTGGTGGATATTTACAACATATGAAACATACAGAAAATAACTACAAAAAAAGTGTATAAGACCTAAGAAAAAACTTGAAGTTGAAGAAAGCAATACACAGGAAAAGAAACAACTACAAGCATTTGAACCCTGGTGCAGTGAGGGATGCCTGGCCAGCTGAACTCACTGTATCCATCTGGAAGCTCATGTAAGAATATCTATATCTACTGTTAGGGCTTGCTTAGAGTTAAGTGATATATTTAAAGCCTTGCTTAAATATTGGTATTGCTTATGTATTCAATAAATTAGGATTTGAAACCTGACTAGTCTCACCGACCAAATCATTTCCATTCACCCCACCCCTTAACTAAACTTAGTACAACAGACTTAGCAAGGTAATGGTTATAAACAGGAAGAGAAGCATTAGTAGATCTGGATTAAAGCTTTTTTGGGAACGGGAAGATATCACTGGACTGAAGAAATCTAATATGACATCTGTGTTTAATATGAGGGCTAGAAAAGATCCAAGCAAACTACAAAGCAGCAAAGCTGATTTTAGCTTTGGGGAAGACGTTACCGAGGAACAGAACCATGATGGAGGAGAATACTAAGTAAGGAAATTTCAGTTCCAAGCTGCCAAAGTTTTATTGTAAACAAGAACAATAGAAAAAATATTATAATTGTGAAAAATGACTTGATGGCATTGTAGTTGGAACAGGTCCACCAAGAGACATTCATGCCTGATAGATCATGCAGGATTGTTAAGAAACTGGCCTATTTTACCAAATTTCTGATGTAGCAACATATGCTAAAGATTAAGGACCCAATTGTCAGAAGAGCTGAGACCCCCCCAGAATCTAATGGAAATCAGTGGGAGCACATCTGAAAAATTAAGTTCCAGATTACATGCTGAATCGTATGAAGCAATTCTCACCCCTAGGGAGACTGACTTTAATCAAAACAAAACCATTTTTAATTAATTGAAAGCATTTCGAAAAAACTATTTTTGCTAGAAAAATAGACAGTTTCCACCTGTGAACAAATGGCATGGGATTCCCTTCCCACTCTCCTCCCCCTCTGGCACAAACTTTTCCTTGCTCAGCCATACTGCAAAATGACAAGCTGTCTTTATGCAAAATGAATAACCATGTTTAGAAGACCCTAGAAAACATTAAGATGTCACTTATGGAAAATGGTCAGAGAGAAGATGTATAAGACATGAAACTATTCACAAAACCAAACAGCACAGTGGTTATCAGGACTCCCATCCTAAGAGTTTTTGCCTGGATAAGAACGGAGTAGAAACTGAGTAAGACCTCAGATTTTGACCCAATGTGGGATCCCATGCACGAATAAATGACAGCAGATGTTAAGAATGCAGAGGCCATTTGTGAGTGAAGGTACTTTTGGGATGGAGAAAGATGCCAGATACTACAGAAGAACCTGGAAGGTGTTTGTGCGCAGGAGGGGGAGAGGTAGGCTGGAGGAAATACTATCTGGATCTGAACCATTCATGTTTTTTTAATCAATTAAGACCGATTTTGTCAATCAGTGTCATAAACTAAAGGCAGGTTGAGGCACATGTGAAAAGCAGAGCTGCTGAAAACAGAGAAGGCAGAGGTGTAACAAAGGATGAATGCAATGCAAAATTCAATTTTATTAAGAACCAGATTAATGTAACTGCTACTGCAGGAGTACCTGGCCAGAAAAAGGATTACTGCAATGGGAGAAAATCTCCATTGAGAAATCACAATAGAGAACTGATCTGTAAAACAGCCATAATTGTTTACTTCGCAGCAGAGGTCTGCTTACGTGATGGGTGGTTTGAGAGTCTAACGTGAAAGTTGCTACAAGGGCCAAAGTACTTGAAGGGATTTAGAAGAGCAGTAGCTTCATAGCTGACATGAGTTAGACTTAGTGCAGGATCTAACACAGTGATTCTCAGCCAGGATGCTGGGGCACCCTGGGGTGCTACAAAATCCTTTGAAGGGTGCTCATGGAAGTGTGAGGTGCTAAGTGAGGTGATAAGCAGATAAGGGCAGGATCAGGCTCCAGGCAGAAGGAGAAAAGCAGATAAGGGAAGGCTCAGGCTCTCCCTGCCTGGCTTCTCCTCTGCCCAGACTGCCCAGTCCCCCTGCAAGGGGGTATGCACTGTAATAAAGACCGTACTTTTTGAAATGGGATGCTGCTCAATTCACAACAGTTATGGAAGGTGCCTTGAGTCTGATGAGGGGTGCCCTTGAGACTAAATGACCAAATATGGATATGTGATATGTACTTTCCAAGTTAGCTGCATCATTACAAGCATGGTAGCATACGGTATTTTTTTGCATTTTCCCTCAAACTAAAATACTCTGAATGTTATTTTTGATAGTACTCCAGCCGAGGAGGCCAAGGCACTCTTCACTTAAGGAAAAGCACTGGAGAGTACTGGGTGCTGGGCATGTCTGGCTATGAGAGAATGGAACACGACAAAACGTGTCTGCATCTTGGGCAAATGCATGGCAGTTCATACCAGGCCAACAAAGGGATGTTTCATGCAGGTGGCTATATCAGAAAGCAGCTGGTTGTGCCACACTGAAAGGAGCGTCTTTCCTACAGTAAAACAGGGTTCAAATATAACGTCATGCTCTCAGGATGCAGTGAAATAGCTTAAAGTCACAAACAACCATAAAACTGGACTATGTATTAAAAGGCAGTGCCTTGACTGACATCCCAGGAACCACTGGGGGGGCATGGGCTGAGCACAAAGCAAGTGTAAATTTGTGGGTCACTCACTAAGATACCACATACATTATTTTTCTGGATCTCATATTGCCAAGGAAGTTCAGAAGAGGAAGTAGACAGCAGTTGCACTATTCCTCAGAGTCCAAGCAAGCGTGTGCTATACAACCTGGTTTTCAAAGCTGCAGTTACAAACTTATTTTAGTTTCCTCCAAAACAAGATGGATGAATTGGAGATTTCTTTTGTCAGCTCCTAATCACACAGGTTTCTTCACTGCCCGGGGTGATGATGTCTAGGAGATGCCTTTACCTTTCCCCTACCTTTGCCTTCTTCCACCTTGTATCTGATTTGGTTTCTAGTTTTTGCTGACTTGAGGGACTGGAGACAAGTGCTTGAAATCCAGCTCTGAAATATTTGTTTTAACAGGTGACTTAAAGGAGCAACTTCGGTGCAATGCATGGAGATTGTCACTACATGCATTTCCCTGGTACTCATCTCTGTGCCACTTGTATTAATGAAGTCATCAAGGCTACTATCCTTGCTTCCTATGAAAAAATGTATTTCCACTCATCTGTGAATGCTTGCAGCAGAGCTTAACCGAACTGAAACATCCTCCCAGAAAATCTTTGTGCTCAAAAACATCCCAGGAGAAAGACTCCTCAATTGAATTCATAGAACAGGAATAACGTAGACAGTAGCAGCATAAGCTCCCACACATATTGCATCAGTCCCTTCAAATCTCTCTTAAAAGCCCCCTTACTCTGATGTCTACATGAAACTAATCTAATCCCACAGAAAGCTATTTTTAAAATGTTTTTTCCTTCTGTTTGGGTTTTCTAGTGAATTGAATTATTAAGTTTGAATTACAGTAATACAGAGATGTGAGACCGTTTTGGGCAGGGCACTGCATATGCACATAATAAGAAACAGTCTCTGCCCTGAAGAGCTTTAAACAACCTAGTAAGAGAAGACTAAGGTAGGTAAAGGAAAAAGAAACAGAGAAATGCAAGGTCATGGTCACTGGACAATATCAGGACTAGGAATAGAACCCAGGACTCTGAGCACCCATGACAGTGCCCTGCTCAGTGGACCATGCCAAAACTTTTTAAGCTTTAGGGGTGCTTGTGCATGACGACTGTCACCATGACAACAATTTCCTTTGTGTGGCTTAATAGCATCACGTATTACACATGCAGGAGGTTTGGGGGGGTTTCAAATGAGCCTGCAATGTTGCAAACTAAACCACATACCCATGTAGTTTAGTTTGCAGTGTTGCTACTTGTAACGCTGCAGCTTTTAATCTGACAGCGTGCCCCCCTGCCGTGAGAGGTGGGCAGGCTCTGCCGAAAAAAAGGATCAAGCCCCTCGTCACTCTTCCCTTCAGCAGAGGTGCCTGGCAGCTGCAGGCACTTGCTGAAGGCAGAAGCAGTGAGGGGCCTGATCCTTTTTTTTTTTTGTGGAGCCTGCCTGCCTTTTCTGCAGCCGAAAGATGCAAGATGCTATCAGGCTGAGTGGCCCTTGAGCTGCTGGGGGCCCTGGTCCTTCCCTCCATGGTGGTGCCGCCCCCTGGGGCTGCCCAGGTGGGCTGCTAGTGGACTGTGTGCTACTCCAGCTCAGAGGCAGCACCTGGCCAGATCCAACTGTTCCCCAAGCCCACCAGGGCTTCCTATGTCCGGTGCACTGTCCCCACCACCTTCCCACCATCTGAGACCACCCAGGAATGGGCTGGCTTGCCCTTGGGGCAGTGTGGGGAGGCAGCAGGATGGTGGCTGGATGTGCTGGCACCTGGAGAAGGTGGCAGGAATGGTACACAGGGCACTGGAAGCTCAGGCAGTCTCAGGGAAGCTCAGGCTTGGCAGGTTTCCAGTGCCCCATCCACTATTCCCGCTACCTTCTCCAGCCACAAGCACACCCAGCTGCCCTCCTACCATCTCCCTGTGCTGCCTCAGGGGCAAGACAGGCCATTTCTGGTCAGAAGGAAGGTGGTGGAGACAGGGCACAGGGTGCTGGAAGCCCTGGCAGGCTCAGGAAAGAGTTGGATCCAGCTGGGTGCTGCCTTCAAGCTGGGGCAGCACTTGGCCCACTAGCCGCCTGCCTGGGTGGCCCCAGGGAGTGCGCCACTGTGGATGGAAGGAACAGGAGCCCCCACAATTCAGGGGCTACTTGGCCTCCCCAGCAGCTCACCCCCCTAGCCGCACATGGGCAGTCTCCAAATCTGATTTTAAAAAAAAGGATCGGGCCCCTCACCATAACGTGACAGAAAAATTTAAACTGTTTAGACCTCAGGGTTTTATTCTATGCCCCACCATTTCAATTTAAGGGCATAGAATAAAACCCTGAGGAATAAACCCCCATCACGTGTACAAGCGCCTCTAGAGCCTTAGTGTTGTCTCTAAGACTACACGCTGTTTGAACCAAGGACAGCCATCAAACCCAGTCTTTTGACATGCATTAAAAAAAAATTATTCTGTACACTTTCCTAGGTGAAAGTGATGATAGTAAAATGATCCTTTTCCTGTTGAGTCACAACAGACATGCTGAAGATCCCTACTTCAAGGAGCCGGGGAATAGTTTTATGACTCAAGTACTGCTTAACAGCCAGCAGCATGGAGGATTAGATGGCTGCTGTTGAGCCTGTAATTCTGACTTAATCTTACTACAGACTTAAATTATCATGACTAAAAGGGCTGTAAAGGATCTGAAATGGAAGGGATTTGCTTATGTGAGCTGCCACAGTAAAAGTAAACTTAATTTGTTATGGGTGGAAAGCTAAATTGTCTTATGCTGACAAATACAGTAGCTTCCTTTTAGTCCTTAAAACTGGAAAAACCTGACTTCTCAGCCTTGCCATGGGGCTGTCAAAACCATCTACGTATCTTTGCACTGAAACCGTTCCCTTTTCAACCTTCTACACATCTCTCCTCTGGTTATTCAGAGCTAAGCTGAGGCACAGAGAATGCTCACAAGGCACAGCTCTGTTTCAAAATACTTGTATTTATTAACCTTGGCATTTTCCCCACAACATGAATATAAGTGAGCATAGCAAGTTCACATATGTGCATGTTTCAAAACAGTTCTGACAAGTAATGCATTTGAAAGCTTGTCTAACCATATCCCAGCTACCTCGTTGGTCCAATAAAAGATATCACTCTAAGAAATCCTTGCCTCGCATATTTTCTGGACCATCATGGGTACAACATTACTCTTATGTTATCAAAATGCTCCACCATTTAAAATGCTAATTATTTGTTAGATTACGCATTTTCTGTGGAACAAGTCTGAGTCTAAATGTTTATCCCTCCCCCCTAGGCTCTCAGAAATAGTCTAAAATTCTTGGCTGGTGAAAGTCAGACAAGTGATTTCAAGCATTTTCAAACTGCATGGATGCTACTGAGCTACTGCCCAGCAGCACTGTAGAAGCCAGGCCAACCAGCCCAGCTGAGCCCAGCATTAGCACACTGGGGGTCTCTAGGAGAACTTAGGGCACTGATGGACATGCAGCTCCCTGATCTAACTCATGGCACTTCACAGAAAGGCCATGAGTTAGACTGACCCTCCTGATCCAACCGTTTGCAGCCTCTTCCCCTAGCGCCAGCCTTTTCATCCTAGCTCTGGTGCTATCTCATGATGGGAGGGGGAGAAGGCAGGGGGAGAAAGTCCATTCTGGGTGTGGAGGGGAGGGGAGGCTCCAATCCACCTGCCCCTCCCCTCCTCCAGCACAGGCTGGGCAAATCCCAGCTGGAACTCCTTCCCCCTCTCCCATCCTGAGACAGTGCCAGGGATGGGGCTGGGCTGCTTCAGCCCAGCCTTGCCCCCAATGTGCACTAAGAAATGTTAATGAAGGTACTCCATTTTGGAGTGCCTTCATCTGAACTCTCATCAGGGTTCAGTTGTTACACGACCAGGCACTTTTTAAAGCCCTTTGCAACCATGCACTTCTGTCAGTGCATGATTATAGAGCACTTTCAGTGGCCAACTGCACAACAAAACATCATTTCTGTCAGCAGTGTTTATTTTGAGTGTCAGAAACCACTTCCCTTTCTCTTTTGCACCCTTCCCCCTTCTCCACTCGCAACAAATTCCCTTGTTCCTTTTTTTTTTTTGCTTGTTTTCTCTGCTTATGATTAACGTGCCCCTAGTACTAATGAAGAACAAATCAATGGACTAAGAACTGCAGTCCCAGACTGAACTAAATATTGTCAGCAAATCGTGAGTTCCTCTGGACCTTGAATTTTGGAGATTCAGGGAGGCAGGCTCAGTTTAGGACCTCTGTGTCCTATTATCAACATTAAGAAGAAAACAGTATGGCTGAGGGAGAAAGATTCTGTTGCCAAAGCCAAATGATCCTTTCTGTGAGGGGGGTGGGAGGGGAGGGAAACAAAAAAGGCTTCTTGTCTGAATACCAAATACCAAAGCACAAGACTAGAGCTCTCTTCCACGCTCTCAATCTTACTATAGGAACAAA